AAGTTATACAGTTTTAGTTAGTTATTGTTATTTCATTTTATTACAGTTTTTAATTATTTTAGTTAATTAAAATGTTTTTTTTATTTAAGTTTTTATTATTTATTTAGTTTTAGTGAACTATAATAACCCTAATGTCAACAAGGGAAGACTTGTCCATCCAGCCTTACATGTTGGAGCCAGAGTCTGACCCAGAGCCAGAGCAGAATGAAGACCACCAAACTGTAGTTGGTAAGCCCAGACCTTATTTAGAGGTTCTTTAGCAAATCATTTCACATTTCAGAAAATGTCTCATAAAAAATAGAACTGATCGGGTTGAAAAATACGAACTAAACAGAATATAGACATAACTATGCACTAGGAGTGACAAAATCCTAATTTTCTGCACTCCTAAAGACTCCAAGTACAAAACAAAATGCATTTAAGGGRTAAAAAAGMGTATTTTGCATGATATGTCCCCTTCAATACAGTTTTCCAAATATTCACTGTAAACTCAGCTGGTTTAAAATAATCTTTGTTATGTTGTACTTTATCTACGTTGTGCATCTTTAAACTCCTATTTCTTCCTCTTCTGTAGTAAAGACCATGCAGGAGCTGCAGAGGGCAGCAGAGTTCCTGTCAACACCAAACCTTGTAGACTTTATTCACATGTTGGGGGGGTTAAAATCCCAACAACCACAGATGTTTCACTTTATTTAATAAGCTTGACAAGTTTTCATAAACCTTCCCTGCTCTAAAAGTTTCCCTCAAAGCCATCCACTCGTGTTAAAAATAAACTAAACCGGAGTTAATGGCCAACAGTGACAGATAACTCTCACACCTTTGGTCTCGCACTCCTGAAAGGTGGCGGCACCGATGCGTTTCGTGACCAGGTTCCCTCCGCACGGGAAACAGGAAGTGCGGCCCACCTCTGGCTGGTAGGTTCCCAGCGGACAGGGACGGCAAGGGACGAAGCCGTCGTGTGAGTACTGGCCTGGGAGACATTGACCTGAGAGGCACACAGATTAACTGATTAGCACAGACTGTGGACTGATACATTRATCAGAACTTCTGTCCAAGTTACAGCACTTTCAAAAGCTACAATATTATGAAGTATGATATCATTTATTTAGATAGCACTCTGGTAAAAACATATTAAAGGATTCAGTGGCTCCTCTCACTCAGTGACTAAAACAAAGTGGGCGTCAGAAGGAATCTGTTCTCCTTGTTTAGTCTGTCTCAGTAGATCGGATCTGGGTTTCAGCCACACAGTGACTCTGATGGCAGTGCTCATAGCTCCAGCTTTTCTTCTAGACTTTTAAAACAGTGTTTGTTTGCACCCTGAATTCACCTGAGTTCAAGCTTCTTTGGGTTTACACAAAACACAACATCTGCCAAGGAGAGATCTTTATCGCGGCACCAGCGCTTCCTGTAGGTCTCTGATTCACAAAACACCTATTTTGTTGTCACTTTGACTTCATCGGCTTTTTTCTGCATATTTTTAGAGTTTGTGACGAGGAAATTACACTGGATGAAGATAAGTAACGCGAGACACTACTTGATTTTTTTTTTGTTAGACTAAACTGTTATTTTCATTTTAACTGAAAAACATATTAAACTGCAAAGTTTACTTCACTTAACTACTTCAAGTTAGACTGGAAATAGAGACCAACGCTGAACAATATATACTGTAGAACATGGATGGGCAACTGATGGCCCACGGGCCACAACTGGCCCGAGGGTGTTTTCTGAATGGACCCCAATGGGCCTCTGTTAGATTCTTAGAGATGCTTTAAGTGTGTTTTTTAGTTAAAAAA